TTTGTATTTAGATTTTTTTTCGTTCTTGCAATGTCAACACCTTCAGCTAAAAAAATCAAATTAGACAACATACCACAATGTCCTTATGGTATAATAAAATCTATATCCTTATCATTTTATATGTATTTATATGTGTCTAGGTAGTAAATGTTATCGTAAAAATCCAGCTCATCTCAAAGAATTTTCACATTCCGATCCTGTATCACATTCTATTACTCCAAAACTAGCTACGACTGGTCTGCTGATAATAATCCACATATTTTTATTTGTAAATTTTTGATTTCTTTTAGATACTGATAAAACATTACCAGTATGTCCATTTGGTGCTACATGTTATCGAAAAAATTTATTACATTTTACAACATATAGTCATCCATTCGATCTTTTAAATCCTGATGTTGATAGTAGTGATGATGAAGAAATCGAAAAAAAAACTACAGATCAATTAAATACAACAGATGATAGTAAAAAACGAAAAATTGAAGAAGAAGACGATGGTGATAAAACAGAAGAATATGATTCGGATGATGTAAGTTATTAATGATTAAATTTATTATTTTACTTTATCCTTTTTATAATTTAGGAAACTGTCTATGATGTAAAATTGGAAAAAACATTTTCTAAAATGACTGATGATGAAAAACGTTTAATGATTGAAAGAGTTAGTAGAAAATATTTATTGATTGAAAAATAAAAACAAATTATATTTCAGGCATTTGAATTAAAAGAAAAATTGCAAGAAAAACTAAAACAATCTCGTGAAGAAACAGAACAAAGTAAAAAAGAAATTGAACAACTTCACGGCAAAGTAAATTAATCTCTATTTTATATGTATTAATAAAGTAGAATTTTAAAGATTAGTGAAGGTGTATTATTATTGGAAGGTGAAGAAGAAATACTTAAAGGAACTGAAATGAAATATTTTGAATTATTTCCAGAACGAAATTACAAACAAGGTAATTAATTGAAAGAATCGAATTAACTTTAAACTAGATTTATTATTGTATAGGTTCAGCTGCGGAAGTACATTTTCGTTTAGCTGAATCACAATTCTATCGTTTATTAAGTGGACATGCTACGTAAGAAATTAAATTATAAAAAGAAGTATTTTACAATTCAAAATTTTTCTTATTTAGAGCTCATGTAAATAAAGTCGAATATGTTTGTAATCCAATTTTAATCAATAAATTCAAGTATAAATTCACGTCATAGTTTCATTATTTATGATTTTTTGATGTTTAGTAAAGCACGAGAAGAATTAAAGAATAAACGTGGTGACGAATATTCTTATCCGGTATTAGCTTTTCATGGTACAGCTATTGCTAATATTCAACCCATATGTGAAAATGGTTTTAAAGTACCTGGTAGATTAATTTCGGAAATATCCAAACAAAATCTATTTAATTATTTATTAGGTCAAGCTGGATTTAAGCACGCGACTGATGATGGTTATTGGGGTCGAGGAACATATTTTAGTGTAAGTGTAAAAGATGATAACTACTACAGTTTGATATTATTTTCTTGATATAGGAATATCCGAATTATTCGATGGGTTATATAAAAGGCGCTACAAAATTATTATTATGTCAAATCTTGCAAGGAAAAGTAAGACACATAAACAGAAAAGATACAGATGTACTTCCTCCAAGGGGGTAATAGTGGACTTCAACAAGCGAGACTTCAGTTTTTCGAAAGACTTCTAAAGACTTCAATAGACTTCAAAAGATTTCAAAGATTTCAGATGACTTCTGAAGACTTCAAAAAACTACAAGAGACTTCAAAGATTTCATGAGACTTCATAAGACTTCATAAGACTTAAAGAGACTTTAAAGACTTAATAAGACTTTATAAGACTTCATGAGACTTCATGCATGAAGTCTCTGTTATATACCCCTTGACTTCTTATCTTTTAAAGGTATTTCAATGTACACAATTAATTCATGGTGCTGATCTTAAAGATGTAAGAGATAATCATATATGACTTTTTATTCGAATACTCTTTTCTTAGGGCTATGATTCACATTGTTCACCTGATAAAAAGGAATTGATTATTTTTCGTAGTGATTATATTCTTCCTCAATATATTGTTCATTATAAAATTAATGCTGGTGAATTTCGATATACAGTATGTTTAAATAAATTATTTTACAATTAATTCGATTGATTTAAATAGGCTAGTCGTGCTACAAAAGAAGCAATAAAGAAAAAACTAGCTAAAATTGGAAAATTATATAAAAAAGCAATAGCAGTAAAAGATAAAAAGTACATATTTATTTTTATTCATAAACAGAAATGTTTTAAGGCTGATCTCGGTCCCGTAACTTGTTCTTTTAATTAGTTACGGGAC